TTGTCCCTCTCGTGTTTAACATACTCCTGTGCGCAGTTCCAGCTTCTTTGTTTCCCTTTTAAACTAGTTGTTTCATAAAAGCAAAGTCTTGCCCGGCCAGTGTGGCTCAGTGGTTAAATGTCGACCTATGAACTGGGAGGTCAGGGTTCGATTTCTGGTCAGGGCACATGCCCGGGTTGTGGCCTCGATCCCCTGTGGGGGGTATGTAGGAGGCAGCCAATTAACGATTCTCTCTCATCACTGATGTTTCTATCTCTTTCTCTCTCTCCCTTTTTCTCTGAAATCAATAAAAATATATTAAAAAAAATAAAAGCAAAGTCTTTTCTCTTTTTGAAACTTAACATCTCAAACCTAAAAGGCGACTTTGTATCTATTCGTAGTGGGAGCGCTTTTCTCTGTGTTAGTATCTGCAGGCGCCAAGGAGAAACGATAGGAAATGGATAGAAATGCAGGATGCTGGGCACAGAGAGGACCTTCGGAATGGCAGCCAGTGCCTTTCTGTTTATGGATGAGGTTACGGATGAGGAAACAGGCCCAGAGTGAGCCGGTCAGACAGGCAGCTGGATCTGGGCCACCTCGGCCCCCGACCGTCACCGCTGGGCTCTGTCCTGGGGTCACAGTGACCACAGGGAGAGGCAGTGTGGAGCGGACTGCACATGGGGAAGAGGGGGAGGCTCAGAATTCTGTTACGTAACTTCTGTTAATTTTTTAAAAATTTATACTGCCGTCGTGCATGCTGCGTCCTAGCAGGGACGCCGTGGCATTCTCCCACGGGAACGCGTCCCCAGTGTTGATCTGCTGGTGTCCCCGGCTATGGACGAAGGCCTGTGCGTGCAGGGCCCTGGGAGCCGCAGGGAGAACACGTCTGGTCTTTCACTCGGTCACGTGCTGCTTTTGTTCTAAGAACCACAGGTGGACAGAAGCCTGTTATCCAATTTGCATCTGTCCTGTCCCCCTTTTTTTTTTGAGTCTAAATCCTCCAGTGTCTAAGCCTATGTGACCCGACCGGTGAACACATTTGGCTTTACTGCTTCAGCAAGCCCAGGCTCGCGTGGTCAAAGCCGGCTGCCGACTCCCTGAAACAGGGACGCCCTCAGGCTCGCTGAGATGGGAGCTGTCAGGGTTTTTCTCCTGCGTGAAGGAAAGCGCTTACTGTGGGCGAGCAGAAAGTCAGGGTGTCTGAGTTCAGATCTCAGGAAGCTGTCAGAAACAGGCCGTGCCCGTCCTGGCCTGCGATGGCCACTTAACACCGTCGGTGAAATAGACTGATCGCGGCTCGAGTGGGGAAATCCTTCCCCGGGGGCTTGGTTCTGCCGAGAGCTGGGGAGAGAGTGCACTGAGGAGGTGGGCTCATTGCTGGGATGGGAAGAGGCTGGCCTCACCCCATAGCATCTGTATACCAGCGGGACTTCCTAGGGCAGCTGTGGGCAAACTACGGCCCTCGGGCCGGATCCAGCCCATTTGAAATGAATAAAACTAAAAAAAAAAAGAGACCGTACCCTTTTATGTAATGATGTTTACTTTGAATTTATATTAGTTCACACAAACACTCCATCCATGCTTTTGTTCCGGCCCTCCGGTCCAGTTTAAGAACCCATTGTGGCCCTCGAGTCAAAAAGTTTGCCCACCCATGTCCTAGGGTGACCTCTCCTTCCTCTTTAAATGTCAGAAACCAGCCCTAACCGGTTTGGCTCAGTGGATAGAGCGTGGGCCTGCAGACTGGGGGGGTCCCAGGTTCAATTCCGGTCAAGGGGATGTACCTTGCTTGCAGGCACATCCCCATTGGGGGGTGTGCAGGAGGCAGCTGATCGATGTTTCTCTCTCATCGGTGTTTCTAACTCTCTATCCCTTTCCCTTCCTCTCCGTAAAATATCAATAAAATATATATTTTTAAAAAAAATGTCAGAAACCAACAGACATTCAAAGAAGAAAGTAGTCACCCTCTGCATCCGGAATTCCCAGCATCCGGAATTCACCGCTCTTAGCCGTTTGATAAGCCTGCTTTTTTCCCCAGTCTCTCTCTAAACTTGAGTAACTATACAAGTGACATCAGGTGTTTGTTGAAGGATTAAAACAGTAATACAAGTGATATAGTTTTACTTACTTTCATATGTACATATACATTTATATAGAAAATATACAGTGGTGTTTAGGAAGAGTTTTTGAATGATGGAGAGTGATTTGTCTCTCATTTAATGCTGCAGGTCAATTATAGGGCCTCCACAGCACTGGGGACTTGGGACCCCTTTATTCTGTAGCTCTGCCATATGTAATTTTAAAAAACATATTTTTATTGATTTCAGACAGGAAGGGAGAGGGAGAGATAGAACCATCAATGATGAGAGAGAATCATTGATTGGCTGCCTCCTGCACACCCCCATTGGTGATCAAGCCTGCAACCTGGGCATATGCCCTGACCAGGAATTGAACCGTGACCTCCTGGTTCAAGGTTGATACTCAACCACTGAGCCATGCTGGCCGGGCTGCCACCTTTAACTTGAGAAGGCCACTCCTGCTCCTATCACCACCTCAGTATCATGAAATGAGCAACAGGAAAGGGAGGGCATGCTCCTTATAAGGGTGCAATGTGGGAGTATGTCACTTCTGCTCATACGCCATTCATCAAACCTGGTCTCACATGGTCACACATAGCTGCAAGGGAGGCTGGGCAGCCACTGAAGTGTCTCATTGAAACTTCTATTATGTGGAAGAGAACAGGTGAGGGTACGAGGAGCACTTCATCGGAATCCTCAGCCACAGGAAAGGGTTTGCTTTTTTTCCCTGTACCTGTTGCTTTGTGAGGAAACATTTTCCACGGAAGTTATCAAGTGGACTTGAGCTACTGAAAAGTTACCCAGAGTGAACGCGTTTCCCTCTGGGATTTTAAATCACGTTTATTCCAGTGGTTACAGGGACGTGTGTGAAATATATTGAGATGAGGTGGCTTCTCCTTAAACTCTTATTTTTTCTGGTGCTGCTTTTTGCGTCTTTCTTTTCCACCGTTTTTGATATTTGTTTGATACTTAGTTTCATCCTTGTCTTTCTCTGTGTTGGCAGGTATGGCGCCGGCTCAAGGCTGGGTGAGACGGTACTTCAAGGCCTTCTGTAAAGGCTTCTTCGTGGCGGTGCCGGTGGCCGTGACCTTCCTCGATCGGGTGGCCTGCGTGGCGCGAGTGGAGGGAGCATCCATGCAGGTGACAGTGAATGCGCCTTCATTCTCACAGCACATGTGTCACTCTCTCTCAAGCACTGGAGACGCGGTTTCTCTGTGTCACTTCTGTGCTGGGACCTGAAAGGCTATACAAAGATCTTGAGGTTTAACTTTCCTGACTTTTTTAATAAGGTTTTTCCAATGTAACTCACAATCAGAGGAGAGGCGAAGAAAAATAATTACCGGATTGTTATCTGTATCTGTCTACCTCTCTATATATCTTTTTAGGAATTGTAAATGGAGATTCTAAATAAGTTTTTTTTTATCCTCCCCCCTAGATAGTTTATTGATTTGAGACAAAGAAAGAGAGAGAAAGAAAGAGAGGGAGAGAGAGAGAGGGAGAGAGAAACATAGGTCAGCTCCTAGGTATGTGCCATGACTGGGACTCAAACCCACAACCTTTTGGTGCATGGGAGGAGGATGCTCCATCCAACTGAGCCACCCGGCCAGGGCGTAAATGGAGGTTCTAAAGAAATGTTACTGAATGATGTCGTATTTTGTGTATCTGCTTGGGATTTTAAGCCATTTTAGTTCTCTATATTTGAATCTATACCTAAATATCTTTTTAAGACCAAATTATTAGTGCAGATGCAGGCTGGGTTTGGGCCAGAGTCAGCACTCTGTTGAGCTGTACACCCAGTAGGTAGAAGGTCCCAGCCTGGAGCCCGGGTGCCAGGTCGTAGAGGGTTCTTTCGGTGCCGGCCACACTTCAGTTACCAGACGGGGAGTGGAGACCTCCGACGGTTAATGCCGGCGTCTCCTGGGCTGACTTAGAGGAACCATGACTGTCCTTGGGTGCTGTCTGGGGCCTCACGGTCATGCAGGGAAGGAGCCTTTGAGTTTGTAGTGGGTTTGTTGCTTCTGTGGCTGGATGCTGGCTTGGTGTAAGTTCATGCACTATGCCAGCGGTTCTCAACCTCTGGGTCGAGACCCCTTTGGCGGCCGAACGACCCTTTCACAGGGGTCGCCTAAGACCATCCTGAACATCAGATATTTACATGACGATTCATAACAGTAGCAACATTACAGTTACGAAGTAGCAACGAAAATAATTCTATGGGTGGGTCACAACATGAGGAACTGAATGTAAAGGGCCAGAAGGTTGAGAACCACTGGAGAGCGTTGGCCTGTGGACTGAAGGGGCCCAGGTTGGACTCCAGTCTAGGGCACAGGCCTGGGTTGCAGATTCCATCCCCAGTGGGGGGCGTGCAGGAGGCAGCCGATCCATGATTCTCTCTCATGATTGATGTTTCTAGCTCTCTCTCCCTGCCCTTCTGAAATCAGTTTTATAAAAAGAAAAAGAATGACTAGCAGTTTCGGGGAGAGGCTCAGGCAAAAGCCAGACCCCAGGGGGTGCAGGGCCTCCCAGGCCTCCGGGCTCCTCAGGCTCCTGGCTGTGCTGAGGGGGAGCCTCGAGAAGAGACGCTGCCCAGCCCGGCCGGGGCGCAGCCTGCGGGACTGAGGCAGGTGCTGCCCCTCTTCTCCAGGAGGCTCACCTCCCGCCCCGGAAGTGGTTCTGCCGGAAGTCAGCGCGGAGGATCTGTGCGGGGCTGAGGCAGGTGCTGCCCCTATTCCTCAGGAGGCTCACCTCCTGCCCCGGAAGTGGTTCTTCCGGAAGTCAGCGCGGAGGGTTTGTGCGGAGCTCAGGCAGGTCAGTGCGGAGGGTCTGTGCGGGGAGAACCAGGGCAGCAGCCCCGAAGGGCCTGGGTCCGGTTCCGCTCCGAGGCCAGGGCCTTCCATGGCGGCCTGAGCATCAGCCAGAGCGTCAGCCCACCATCCCGGGGGCTCCTGTCCGAGGAGCAGGCGCCACGGCTGCGTTTGCAGCTTTGAGATGCTCGGGGCCTGCGCTCCTTCTCCCCCAACTCGCGGTGGAAACAAGCCCAGAGGGAGGTGGGTGCCGGCCGCAGAGGCGGGGCCGGGGTGCCGGGCCTCCACCTGGTGGGGTCACGGTGCCGCCTTCGGGGCCGGTGGGTGATGGGCGACAGGAGTGAAGGTGGAAACAGTGGGGTGGCGGCTGGTCTGGGAGGTGGTGCTGGAGGTGGAGACGCTGGGGGGGTCGGAGGCGGAAGAAGGGCGTCCCTGGGTCTGTCCGTCCAAACACGTTGAAGCCGGAGACAGACCCAGGCGCCGGGCGCACGAGGCTCCACTGACCCCCTTTGCTGCAGTTTTCCAAGCCGCCTGCCCGCGTCGCGGTCCTGGTGACCTGGTCACTTACCCGTCAGTTACCGCTTAGCTCCTCTCGGACCCTCGTGCTGCCCTGTCCAGCCGCAGTTCCTGGAGGCGGGTGGCGGGGGTACGTTCAGGTGAAGAGAGTTAGAGACTAGTGAGGACTCCTCCAGCCCAGGCTCGTTTGGCCCAGAGCATAGAGCGTCCGCCTGCGGGCCCAGGGGACCCGGGTTCGATTCCGGTCAAGGGCATGTGCCTGGGTTGCAGGCTCCTTCCTGGCTCGAGCCCTGTTTGGTCCTCATGCAGGAGGCAACCGATAGATGTGTTTCTCGCACATCCATGTTACTCTCTGTCTTTCTCTCTCTCTTCCACTCTCCCTGACAGGTGAGGATTAAAAAAAAAAAAAGTGCCTCCCGCCCACCCAACAGCCGCCCTCCCCCCCCCACTTTCCCTCTGAGGTTCCGCCATCTGTTCCATGTTTCTGTCTTTGTATTTATTGGTTCATCAGTTTATTTTGTTCATTAGATTCCACATATGAGTGAGATCATGTGGTATTTGTCTTTCTCTGACTGGCTTACTTCACTGAGCAGATACTCTCCAGGTCCCTCCATGCTGCCCCAAAGGGTGAGAGATCCTTCTTTTTCACAGCTGCATAGTATTCCCTGGTGTGAATGAACCAGTTTTTGTTTTTTTTTATCCACTTCATCTATGGATGGGCACTTGGGCTGTTTCCAGATCTTAGCTATGGTGAATTGTGCTGCTATGAACACAGGGGTGCATATGTTCTTTCTGATGGGTTTTTCTGGTTTCTTTGGATATATTTCTAGAAATGGGATCAGTGGGTCAAATGGCAGTTCCATATTTAATTTTTTGAGGAAACTCCATACTGTCTTCCATAGTGGCTGCACCAGTCTGCATTCCCACCAGCAGTGCATGAGGGTTCCTTTTTCTCCACATCCTCTCCAGCACTTGTCATTTGTTGATTTGTTGATGGTAGCCATTCTGGCAGGTGGGAGGTGATACCTCATTGTCGTTTTAATTTACTTCTCTCTGATGATCAGTGACTTTGAACATTTTTTCATATGTCTCTTGGCCATCTGTATGTGAGAAATGTCTATTTAGGTCCTTTCCCCATTTTTAATTGGATTGTTTGTCTTCCTTTTGTTAAGTTGTATGATTTCCTTATATATTTTGGAGATTAACCCTTTATCCGATGTATCATTGCCAAATATGTTCTATACCAGTGATGGCGAACCTATGACACGCGTGTCAGAGGTGACACAGGAACTCATTTTTTTTGGTTGATTTTCCTTTGTTAAATGGCATTTAAATATATAAAATAAATACCAAAAATATAAGTCTTTGTTTTACTATGTTTGCAAAGATAAAAAAATTTCTATATGTGACACGGCACCAAAGTTAGGGTTTTTCAAAATGCTGACACGCCAAGCTGAAAAGGTTCGCCATCACTGTCCTATACAGTGGGCTCCCTTAAAAAATAATAAAAATAAAAAAGAAAGTAAAAATATTGCCCTAGCTGGAATGGCTCAGTGGTTGAGCATTGACCTATGAACCAGGAGGTCACAGTTGGATTCCTGGTCAGGGCACATGCCCGGGTTGCAGGCTCGATCCCCAATGTGGGGCGTGCAGGAGGCAGCCGATCCATGATTCTCTCTCATCATTGATGTTTCTATCTCTCCCTCTCCCTTCCTCGCTCTGAAATCAATAAAAATATATTCAAAAAGAAAGAAAGTAAGAACAGTGCACTGCAGGGGACAGGAGGAGGGGTTTCCGGTGCACGGCTCTCTTCCTCCATGCTGCTTGCTGCATTTAGCACGGAGTGGGGTTCACATACCTGCCTCTCCGGCTTTGAATCCCTGGCAGTCTCGCCTTGGACCCCATCCTTAGGGAAGGCTAGGCTTTCTTGGTGGAACTTTTGAGTTCGAATCTTCCTATGAGATGAAAACTGCCTTGTCCCCTAGCACGCAGGTCTGTTTTGGGTTCCTGGGGTCTCTTTGGATCCATCCCTTTGGTAACCGACAGTCACGTTAATAGTGATTTTCTCCTGTTTCCTTCGTGGTGCCTGGCCACACCACCATCGCTAGCTCTCCCAAGGTGGACTTTCCCAGAACACGTGGCCTGCTGGCCTAGGAGCCGATATTCCAGAGGGTCCCATGGCCATCGGAGTGCCCCAGTCTTCACCTGTTTAGCCCCAGTTTACCCACTGAACACCCGTCGTCGTGGCTGCCATGAAGAGGACAGTTACTACATTCACTAAACAGTGTTAGGAATGGATTGCCTTAGGAAGAAAGTGTTACGTAGAGTCGTCCTTGAATGTCAGCCTGATCTCTTCCCGTATTCCTGGACCTCACTCCCAAGAATTCACATTTGTTACCTTGCTGTTTGTTTGATAGCCTATGTAGAGTTTCCTTGGCTGTGGCTACAGACAAGCAGCTTGAATTGCTCTAGACAGACGGGAGATAAATCGGGAGGTTTATTCTGTACCAGGAGGACGGCGGGAGGGTGGCCACCATCAGGGGAGGTGGAGCCAGGGCCCGAGTGCTGCCCGTGGCCTGGTCTTCTCTGCTCCCACCGGCTGCTCTGTCTGCATTTTGGCTGTGTCCCTCAGACCGGCCTCCTTCCCCACGCAGGCGCAGGGCTGCTGGCAGCTGCCAGGCCTCCAGGTGCCCAGTGCCACCACCGCCCGGGGGAGGGCTCTGCTCATGTCTGCACTTCCCTTTGAGAAATCTTGGGGAGGGCCTGGGATCATTCAGCTCAGGTCCTGCACCCTGACCCGTGCGAAGACTGGTCAGCTCT